TTTCATCACTTCTCTTATCCTTCACCCCTCCCCCTCCTCCCCTCCCTCTTTCCAAATCGCCACTCCAACTTTTTTTAACCTACGCCTCCTTCGAACCTCCCTCTTCTTCCCTCCCCCCCCCCTTTCTTCATTTTCCCTCCCCTCTCCCCATATAACCCCTCCCCCATTTTTTGCATTTGTTACGGTCTTTATCGTAAAACTGAATTCAATTAAAACACAAAATTAATAATCTGACAATCCCTTCATATTTTTACAAAACGGTAGCTGTTCTATGTAAATTGTGCATTCCATATGTATGGTTTTAATTTCACGTACCAATAAATGCACATACAGGCCTACGTATATGTATACGACACATACACACATACACACAAATACATACAATTAAACAAAACACAGCAAGTACAGTCAACTTTTTTGTTATCTCTTTTAATAATATCAATACTTAATACTCCTCCTCCTATTCCCCTTTCTCCTCCTTTCCCTCCTCCTCTTTCTCCACTTTCCTCTCCTCCTCCTATTCCTCTTTCTCCTCCTTCCTCCTCCCCTCTTTCTCCTATTCCTCCTTATTCCTATTCTACCACCTCCTCCTGTTCCTCTTTCTCCCCCATCTTCCTCCTCTCTCTCACTTTCTCCCCCATCTTCCTCCTCTCTCTCACTTTCTCTTCATTCTTCCTCCTCTCTCTCACTTTCTCCTCCCCCCACCCTTCATTCTCCAATTCCTCATTATTCCCCTCCGCTTATTCCTCGTACGAAAGCTTCCACGGGCGAAACTAGCACCGACTCTCAACGCAAAACGAAGTGAAGAAGTAAGAGATACGCGAAGGAATCCGATGCTTGTTTCACCCGTGCGCAAAGTGAAGACCATCAGCTTAATTGGAACGAAGCTTAATTAAGTTATTAATCTTCCAATTTCGTGTGAGTTTGGGAAAAAGGGTTTGGAATCCACTTTTGATCGAGAAAAATGCAGCGATTTTAAACCTATGTGGCCGACGGGATACGGATGAGCTCGCGCCGTTATTAGGAAGTAAAGCTTTCCTCGCTGATTTGTTTTTTTTCTTCTTCTCTTTCTCTTTCTTTCTCTTTCTCTCTCTCTTTCTCTTTCTCTCTCCCTCTCCTTCTCTCTTTTATCTTGACCTTCCTCTTAAAGCCTATTTCATTTCTCGTTCATGCGGTCTGTCTGCCTGCTTTTCATTCATGTCAAAATTCTGTTTGCTTGTCTATTTCGGATTTTACAATATCTGATTAGGAAATCTTAACTGTTCGAAACGTCATGCATTTATTCATCGCTATTGTAACTGCGTTTCAATATGTCACACACGACATGCAAAAAAGCTCTCCCTTTCACGTTTTTCACGTCTCAGAAAAAAAGGGAAGAAATCCTTCAGCGATAAGAAAACCATTTCAAATATGTCTCGTCAAATATGCCCAGTGACGATATCCTTAACTGAGTATTCATGTATATATGGATATATATGGATATATATATATATATATATATATATATATATATATATATACATATATATATATATATATACACACACACACACACACACATATATGCTTTAATATTAGAGGCCGCGGTGGTTAGAGCATCGGACTCGAAGACTGTTATGCCAATCTGAATTCGAGAGTTCGAATCACCAGCCGGCGCGTTATTCCCCTGGGCAAAGAACTTCACCTCGTTTGCCTACGGACATGGGAGTCCCCTGAGCGGAAAGGCCGAAAGAAGAAAAAAAAGAAGAAAAGAAGCGAAATAAAAACACACACAGTAACATACAATCCCCCTTATATATATATATATATATATATATATATATATATATATATATATATATATAAATATATATATATATATGTATATATATATGTATGTATGTATGAATATATATATGTATATATATATATGTATGTATGAATATATATATATATATATATATATATATATATATATATATATATATATATATATATATATATGTATATGTATGTATGAATATATATATATATATATATATATATATATATATATATACATATATATATATATATATATATATATATATATATATATATATATATGTATATATATGTATATATATGTATATATATATATATATATATATATATATATATATATATATATATATATATATATATATATTTATCTTCTTACCTCTCGCTCTTCATATTCTTAATTCCTCTGATATATGTATATCAATATTGCTATGATACTATTAATATGTTCAATTTCATTTTAATGTAATCCCCTTACGTATACGTATCCTGAATCCCCTTTATATACATATAAAAGAGAAAAAAAGAAAAAGAAAGAAAAGAAAAGAAAAGAAAGAAAGAAAAAATATATATCAATTTTGACTTTTTATTGTTAATATTCATAATTTTCTCATTTCCACGTCATTGAAAAAAAAACTTTTCATCTTACCTTACACTCCACCCCTCACCCCCCCCCTCTCTCTCTCTCCCCCAACAACAG